CTCAAGGGAATCTTTGCATTGTACTATAGCTAGAACTCCAGGATATGAGCATTCACAGACTATTACGCACTTCCCATAAGGGAATGCACCTCTGGGCAAAAGAGCATTTTGACTGTTTCTACCCCTGGTTGTTAGTCATTGAACAATTGCATCACAAGGGTTCTTGAAATATTCTAGACACAATTCTTTTCTCAAATACATGTTTTACATATGTGTCTCCCCGTTTATGGACTGTCTTTTCATTCTCTTGATGGTATCTTTGAAGATATTTTAATTTTTTAGTATGTTTTATTTTGAGTTAACTTTAGACTTAAAAAATGTTACAAAAATGATACCAAAAACTTTTTTTTTCTTTTGAGATGCAGTCTCTATTTCCTAGCCTCATCTCCAACTTGTAAACTCCAGTGATCCTCCTACTGTAGCCTCTTGAGTAGCTGGGGCTACAGGCATACAATACCACCCTTGATGAGTCAGGTTTTACATCTCTCATCTCACTCTCCCAGTGAAACGCTTCCTCCTCCACAACTAGTCACTTTTTTTCCTTTTCTTTTTGCCTCCCCCCTCCCCTCCTTTTCTTCTCTTCATCTTCCCTCCCCTCCCCTTTCCTTTCCTGCACCAGAGTGCTAACTGGAACCTCTGGGACAAGACTAAAGACTGCAGGGGCATTTAGTGAATGGAACAGCACCAGCCCACCCATGACCAATGGATAGAGGGACACAGGGACTTAAACAGCTTTGTGTTGTGGGACTGAGCAGCCTGGAGCTGTCCCTACACCAGTGCCAGGAGCAGAAAGTCACCCCACAGCACCTCACCCCACCTTGCCCGGTAACAAGACATTACAGACTACAGTGGAGGTGGGCACAGTGGCACCAGAGACACCAGGAAAAGCACGCAGTGGAACAGCATGACCCCTCTCCTACCAGTAGTTTGAGGGATGTAAGCAGCACTGTGCCTGGCATAGCAATGAATGGGAGGTTAGCACTGGCCCCCTCAGGAGAGAAGTAAGAACTGGGACTGAGGAGCCTGGGATGGCATCTGTGTAGGAGCAGAGGTTCACCCCACATCACAGCACTCTACCCCACCTGCAGTAAGAAGCCTGGGAGGACAGTGAGAGGAAGTGGGAGGACTGTGGGAGGACATTGGGAGGCAAGTGCAAGGACCAGGAGGAGCCAACTATGCATGGGTCTGGGAGCAGCCTCCATCTCTGTCTGAGGGCAGCACAGCAACTGGGAGACAGATGGACAGAAACAGGGAAAGGAGTAGGAGGGCCACTAAAGGACACATAGAAAGTACTGGCGAAAACTTTGGCTCCAGCTCCCCACATCTGGAGGCCAAGATCAACCTCACATCCAGCACAGACTCTACTGCAGGCTCGGCAGGGATACTCAGTAGTTTTGGCCTCTGGGTGTACACCAGAGGAATTTTATTTTTTATTATATTTTATTTTTCTTCTGTCTTCAATGGTTTGTTTCATTTTCCTTTTTAAAAGGTATTTTACCTATATTTTGTTCTAATCTATTCATTTTCTTTCTCCTCTTTCCTCAATTATCTATCTTAATTTAATCATATTTTCATGAGTGAACACTCTATAATCTTTGTGGTTAGCTACGATAATCCTTTGCTTATTCCTTCATTTTTTCTGCCCACTTCTCTAGTTTCCCAAAGCTTGCATCAACATCCTTTGTCTTCCATCCTTGCTTTTACTAAATTTTTCTTCATTTATCTTGGATTTATTTACTATCCCTCTTAAATTTCTCCACTACAGGGTAAAATCACTCTACCATGCGGGAACACTCTGCAATACAAGCTCCCAATTTCTTTTTTTTTCTTTTTTTTTGGTTTTTTTTTTCTCCGGTACCGGGAACCGAACTCACGACCTTGCGTTTGCCAGGCAGGCGCTTTTGCCGCTGAGCTAAATCCCCAGTCCCCAAGCTCCCAATTTCTTTGGGCTCTGTTATATAACTGTAGGTCTTGCTCCTATGATTAAAGGTACCAAATTAATACTTACCATAGTTTGTCAGTTTCTAAGCTGTGCTTGATGCTATGGCTATTGCTAACTGTACTACTTTAGATAGGATGTCATGTGTGTTGTAATTAGTTGTTAGCCCACTGTAAGACAATAATGGGAAAGTCTGGGGTAATAACCATCACCACAGTCACGTACCAAAGGACTGGGGACTGGGGCTGAGGATTTAGCTCAGCGGCACAATGCCTGCCTGGCAAGCGCAAGGTCCTGAGTTCGATTCCCAGTACTGGAAAAAAACCAAAAAACCAAAAAACAAAACAAAACAAAAAAACCAAAGGACTGGGGACTAAGCCAAATAAATACCAATATCCTACCCTTAATAAGTTGAGAAAGTAGGATCCTGGAACAGACACAAGAACGTGCTACACATAGAAGACATCCCTGAAGAACAGACATTTCCTAGGGAGGTCGTGATACTAGAGATAAAGCTATTATAAAAACTTATAAGAATCAACATAGAAAACAAAATAAAAATTTAAAAATAGAAAATGACAAAATGCAGAAGCAAAATACAACTCCAAACCTCCAGCACACCCAGAACAAGTCCAGAAGTCAACAAGATACAGGAAAATGGAAGACTCACAGCTAAAATTTCTGAAATGATAGCAGCAGAAGTAAAGAAACAAATTCATGAGACTATAGGGGAAATCAGATCAAAAATAATCTCTCAGGGAAAAAAAAGAGATGACAATTATAATGAAGGACTTGCTCACAAATCTAGATTAGACATAGATAAAATAGATGGAATAGGAAAATGATAGAAACCATGAATGCCCAACACAGGAAAGAAATGGAATGCATAAAACAGATTCAACAGAAATTCAGGAGATTAAAAATTCCATTGAAAGCTTGCAAAACCACATGAACAAAAGTGAAGATAGATTAGCAGACTGAGAAGACAGGATCTTGGCTAGCAATCACAAACGAAAAGATCTCTTAAAAATAAGGGGCTAGGAAAAAACAATTCAACAGCTGAAAGATGATGCAAAGTACAACAACATAAGATTGACTGGTATCAATGAAAAAAGCAGGAGACAGCACAAATGACATAAAGACTATTTGCAGAAGTAATGGCAGAAAACTTCCCATGCATGAAAAAGGAATCTGATATACAGTAAGTGAGGCATACAGAATTACAATTAGCCATGAACAAAATAAATCTATACCAAGGCATGTAATAATCAAGATCCCAGAAATTCAGCACAAGAACAGAATATTAAAAACAGAGAAAAGAAACAGATCACCTATAAAAGAAAATCCATCAGAATCACAGCAGACTTCTCAACACAAATCCTGAAGTCAAAAAGAACTTGAAGTACTTGAAATTCTGAAAGAAAACCACTTCCAACCCCTATTGATATACCCTGCAAAACTGTCTTTCAAAATAAATAAAAAAAAATAAGATCCTTCCATGACAAAGAACAACTGAAGATATTCATGATCACCAAGCCAACTCTACAAAGTGTACTGAAAGATATTAAATGACCACAATTCCAAGAACACCAGTAGAAAGAAAGCACCAGGCAGGCAAGCAAATAAACAGAGGGGAATGACAGGGAACTTACAGCATGAAAATAATATGGCAAGGATAAGCCAATATACATCAGTTATAACCATCAATTTAAATGGTCTCAATTCACCAATCAAAAAAAAAAAAAAAAAAAAAAAACCAGACTGGCAGAGTGGATCAAGAAACAAGATCCAACAATATGCTGTATACAAGAAAAACAACTCAAAAAGAAATTCACAAACTGAAAGTCAAAGGATAGAAAACAATATTCCATGTGACAGGAGCCCATAAAAAAGCAGTGGTAGCTATTCTATTTGCAAACAATGTGAACTTTAAACCAAGAATGATCAAAAGAGATAAAGAAGGTCACTATATACTTGTTAAGGAAAAACTTCAGGAAGAAGACATAACAATCATAAATATGTATGCACCAAATACAGGAGCACCTAACTGTATGAAACAAATATTAATGGACATGAAAAATCAAATAAGCACTAACACAATCTTAATGGGGAAACTTAATATGCCACTGTCACAAATAGATAGATCAACCAGACAAAAAGTCAGCAAAGAAATACCACAACTGAACTAAACCTGTTAAAAAATGCACTTAGTAGATGTTTACAGTGTTCCCCCCAACATCAGAGTACACATTCTTCTCAGCTATACATAGGACATTCTCTAAAATTAAACCACATATTACTCCATAGAACATGCTTAAGGAAATGCAAAGGAACTGAAATTATCCCATGCATATTATTAGACCATAGTGCAATGAAATAGGAAATCAATGGCAAAAGGAAACTCCATAAAAACTCCAAAAACTCCCTGAACACATGGAAATTAAATCACATCTTCTGAACAATCAATGGATTAAGGATGAAATTAAAGAAGAAATTAAATAATATCTACAATTAAATGAAAATGCTAATCAACATACTGGAACTTATGGGATACAACGAAAGCAGTCCTAAGAGGGAAAATTATTTTGGTGAATTCTCATATCAGGAAAACAGAACAAGCTCAAATAAACAACCTAATGTTGCACCTCAAGCTTCTTGAAAAAGAGCAAGTCAAGCCCAAAGCCCATACAAGGGAGGAAATTGTAAAGATCACAGCAGAAATTAATGCAATTGAAACTAAGAAAACAATACAAAGAATACAATAGCAAAGAGTTGATTCTTTGGAAGATTAAATAAAATCGATAAGCCCTTACCCAACTTTATCAAAAAAAAGAAAGATTCAAATTCATGCAGTTAGGAATGAAAGGCTGAAATCACTACAGATCCTATGAAAATTCAGAAGATCATTAATATTTACTTTGAGAATCTTTAATAAGATGGAAAAACAAGAAATGGACAGATTCCTAGATATGTACAAATTATCAAAGTTGAATAAAAGATATAAAAATTCTAAGTAACCCAGTATCAGTTAATGAAATTGAAAATATAATTAAAAACTTACCAACAAAGAAAAGCCCAGGTCCTGATGGATTCACTGCTGAATTCTACAAGAAATTTAGAGATGAACCAATGTGATTACCCCTGAAAATTTTTAAGGAAATTGAAAGGGAAGCAATATGCCCTAACTCATTCCTAGAAGCAAGTATCACCCTGATACCCAAACAAGAGAAAGGCCAACCAAAAAAGAGAACCACAGGCCTAACTCCCTAAAGAACATATATGCAAGAATTCTCAATAAGATACTAGCAAACAGAATGCAGCAAATCATCAAGAGGATTATACACCATGACCAACTGGGATTCATCCTAGGAATGCAGAGAGGGCTCAACATATGCAAATCATTAAATGTAATATACCATATCAACACAGCCAAAGACAAAAGTCACATAATCTCAACAGATGCAGAAAAAGCTTTTGACAAAGTCCAATACCCTTTCATGATAAAAACTCTACATAAAATTGAAATAATGGTCTTTATCTAAATCTGATAAAGGCCATCTATGACAAACCAATAGCCAACATTATACTAAATGGTCAAAAACTGAAAGCTTTCACTCTAAAATCAGTGACAAGGATGTCCACTCTTACCACTTCTATTTGATATAGCTCTGGAAACATTAGCCAGAGCAATTAGCAAGAGAGAGAGAAATAAAAGGAGTACAGGAAAGGAAAAAGTCAAATTATCATCATTTGCAGATGACATGATACTTTACATAGACAATTCCAAAAACTCTACCAAAAGACTTAGATTTAATAGATTTAATAACCAAATTTAGTCATGTAGCTGTATACAAAGTCAACACTCAAAAATCAATAGCATTCCTGTACACAAATAAACTAACTGAGGGAGAAAGTAGGGAAACACTTTTCACAATAACATTGAAAAAATAAAATGATTAGTAATCAATCTAACAAAGTAAAAGATCTCTACGTTGAAAACTACAGTATTCTGAAAAAGGAGATCAAAGAGGATAACAGAAAATGAAAAGATATTCCTTGCTCATGGATAGGAAGAACCACTACAGTGAAAATGGCCATACTCCCAAAACTGTTATACAGATTTAAGTCAATCCCAATCAAAATACCACTAGCATACCTCACAGAACTAGATCAAATGTTCCTAAAATCATTTAGAACCAGAAGAGACCTCGAATAGCAAAAGCAATCCTGGGCAACAAAGGCAAGTCAGGGGGGCATCACAATCCCTGGCTTGAAATTATACTACAAAGCTATTGTGATAAAATCAGCGTTGTACTGGCACAAAACAGACCTGAGGATCAGTGGAACAGAATAGAAGATGCACACACAACTACAAACACATTCAATCCGTTATCTTTGACAGGGACGTAAACACCTTCACTGAAAGACAGCCTCCTTAATAAATGGTCCTGGAAAAACTGGCTTTCCACCTGCCAAAGACTAAAACTAGACCTGTATCTATCACCATGCACTAAAGTCAAAATGGATTAAAGATCTAAATATTAAAACAGAAACACTAAATCTCCTGGAAGAGAAAACGGGTAGAACACTTGAAGACATAGGTGTAGGCAGAGACTTCATGAACAAATCCCGGATTGCATGGGAAATACTTCAAAGACTCAACAACTGGGATCTTATCTTATTAAAAAGCTTTTGCACAGCAAAAGAAATCACCCACAGAATGAAAACACAACCCACAGAGCAGGAAAATATTTTAGCACTTGCTCCTCAGATAAAGGACTAATATCTAGAATATATAAAGAACTGAAAAAAAAAATCAGATCCCCTAAATTCAAAGACCCAATCTAAAAATCAGTTATCTGAGAAGAATACAGGTTTCTCAGATGAGTAAGTACAAATGGCAAATAAGTATATGAAAAAAAAGTTCAACATCACTGATCATTTGAGAGATACAAATTAAGATAACATTGGAATTCTATCTCACTCCAAAAAGAATAGCTATTATAAAAAAAATCAACCAGTAACAAATGCTGGCAGGGCTGTGTGGAAAAGGTAACACTTGTTCCTTCTGTCTTTATCCTTACATTATCCTGTCAAGATACTCTTTTTCAGTTATTTTGGTTTGTTGCTCGCTACAAAACTTAAGAGCAGAGGAAAGACAACTTATGGAATTGCAGATGGAATTTGATCTTTACGTTTTATTTACGGTTATTTTTGCAGTTTTGGGATTCCCTACTTAAGTAATACTGAAGCTATGGTTTCATGGAATGATTTTTTGTCAGGAAGAAATGTGGGGAAAATACTCCATACATACCCAGCACTGTTTTCAGTTACAAGAAGTCTAAAAGTTATTTTAATAAGGTTCAATTTATAATTTTACTTTTTATTATTCATGCTGTGTATCCTACTTTCTACACTTTTTCTAAAATGTTTTATAATTTTAGCTTTCACATTTAAGATATATGACATAATTTGAGTTAAATTTTGTATATTATGAAGTTATCAGTTGGGGCTGATTTTTCCCCCATAATATTCAGAAAACATTATTTTTAAGAAAGACTATCTTTTAAACATACTTTATATGCTTACAGGGATCACTAAACAGAACAAAAATACTGATAATAGGCAAATGCGGGAATTTCTGGAGTAGGCAAAAAGTATGGGATCTAGTGCATGAGTGGAAGGATTAATATGCAGTAGGAGATGGATGTGTTGTTGCTCATGTGTAGGTGGAATCTGAAAGTTCCCTTGTAATAGCTGCAATTTTCTTAATGAGACCAAAAATATGAGTGTTTTTTAAGTTGCTTCAAGGTCAACTTAATACAGTTAAGCTCTATTCACACAATGCCTAATATACTGCTGAACGTATAGTTGAACTCAACAACACTTAGGAATTACTTTGGGAAAGAGAAAATAAAAAGTAACTATTTGAATTATATACTGATTTTAGAACATGTAATAGGATGATTATACATCCATATTTGTTGATAACATCATTGAAGATATACAGAAAAAATAAATCTTTGAAAGTTACTTTTCCTATTACCGAGTTAAGAAATTAGGTGTCCACACTGTCATCAAATCCCATAATTACATATTAAATTATTTAAAGCATTTAATCTCTTAATTTATCACAACTATAAAGTAGTAATACATTAAACAAACATAAATGGGTTGTCATCTTTAGATTTCCATTCTTATATGTAACTGTTTTAATCAAATGTCCAAATTTAGACATTTTAAATGAGCATCTCCTGTTTTTAGACAATGCTATTAAACACTTAGAATTTTTTCTCTCAACCTTCAAACTCCCTCCAACATCCATGTTTGCCTTGCAGCTGGTAAGCTTGCCTTGTACTTACCAAGTAATATAAATGGAATTAAAGGACACATTTTATCCCTACCAAGTGCATTAATCTAACTGTAACTGTATTGCCAGAGTCTGACTTTCCTCTTGTAAAATGGAAGAAATGTCTTTATTCCTTGAATTCTTTGCTTGTGTTTTGGGTCCCACTGCCTCTACTTTCAAGTACTTTACTCCTAAAATTGTTTCATAGAATTACTGCTTCTTCATTAGTCAGTACAGTAGCCTGTAGATATACCAATTTTTAAAAAGAACTTCCCTGACCCTTCATCAGTAACCCCTTTTCTAAGTATAACTTCTCAAAATGTTGTCCCAATATTTTCCCCACCCTTTATTGTCTCAACATACTCTAACAGACTTTCCTTCTTTCTCTCTGAGTTCATGTAAGGTCATGCGTAACTCTCAAATATAATGGTAAATTGTATATCCTTATTTTCCTCACTTTTCAGTAGTATTTGACTGACACAACTGACCATTACTCTTTCCACCTCTCTAGGCTTTCTTAATGCTGTGATTACCCCCGTTCTTTACTCTCCTTTGTTAGGCCCTACCTCCCATGCCCAACATCTAACTGATAAAGTATCTAAAGAGCCTTGTCTTGCTGTCTTCCCTCCCCTTCCCTCTCCATGGCTTTAAATGCATAAACACAGTCATAACCTCCAAAACTTACATTTCCAACCCAGAGCAATGGATCTACTATGAGCACCTCAAATTTAATAGGTTCAAGGGAAATTTGATTTCCTCCTCACCCTCCCAATTTGCTCTTCCTCAACTTAGTAAATTTTGTCATCTCCATAAAAATACCAAAAACATTCTTGACAGAACTAGAGAAAACAATCCTAAAATTCATATGAAAACACAAAAGATCCAGACTAGCCAAATTAATCTTGAGCAAAAAAAGCAATGCTGGAGGCAGCACAATATCACATTTCAAAATACACTAGAAAGCTATAGTAACAAAGACACCATGGTATTGCATTAAAAGACATGTAGACCAATGAAACAGAACAGAGGACACAGAAATAAGCCCCCAAACCACAGTCATCTAATTCTTGACAAAGCAGCCAACAATATACGCTGCACAAAAGAATGCCTCTAACAAATTGTGCTGGAAAAACTGGATATCCATATGTAAAAGATTAAGACTAGATCACAATCTTTTACCCTAATACTAAAATCAACTCAAAAGGGATCACAGATATAGCTGTAAGACCAGAAACTCTGACACCACTAGAAGAAAACATAGGGAAAACACTTGAAGCCATAGTCACATGCAGACTTTCTGAACAGGACTACACTAACAAGAATCAATAAATGCAATTAAATCAAATTACAAAGCTTCTGTATAGCAAAGGAAACAACAGCATGAAAACAAAACCTATAGAATGGAAAAAAAAAATCTTTACCAGGTACTCTCCCAATAGAGGAATAATACTAGCATATACAAAGAATTTAAAAATTAACAAATTAAAAAACTCCCAATGAATAAATGGACAAAGCAATGGTTAGACACTTCTTCAAAGAAATACGAATGTCTAAAAGTATTTGAAAAAATGTAAGAAATCTTTAGACATCAGGAAAATACAAATAAAAGCTACATTAAAATTCCTAGTCAGGCCAGGTGTGGTGGCACATGCCTGTAATCCTAGTACTCCAGAGGCTGAGGCAGGAGGATCATTGTGAGTTTTAGACCAGCCTGGGCTACAAAGTGAGCTCAAGGCCACCC